TACCTGGTAATAGCTCAGCAAAAAGAATACAAGGTTTTTGTGTTAGCTGGACCGCAAGGACAATGAAACTGAGGGACTTCAACACATTAGTATACTCCCTTGGGGTTCTTCACTCTTTCAACAGATTTTCTGGAACTGTGGCCACTTGCAGCATTACCAAAGGGGACCTCTTCCCTTAGTACCAACTTAATAATATCCAGAGGCAGAACTGCGTTTATGCTTGCAGTCCAGGGTGGGTTATTACCCTGGCTAGCCACACTGGAACCCAAAGTTGGGTAGAGTTAGGACAGAATAATTTGTCAAAAGAGGGAGGATGCATTTTTCGGAGGATGGTAGAAGGGGGCCAGATGTTGTGGCTCACAGCTGTAATCCCAACACTTTGGGGGACCAAGGTGAGCCAACTGCTTGAGCCCAGGAGTTTGAGACCAGGCTAAGCAATATAGTTGGACCCCATCTCCAGAAAAAAATACAAAAATTAGCCAGGTACGGCGGTGCGTGTCTGTAGTCCTAGATACTTGGGAGGCTGAGGTGTGAGGATGGCTTGAGCCCAGGAGGTCGAGGCTGCAATAAGCTATGATCACACCACTACAGTCTAAACTGTGTGACAGAGTGAGACCCCATCTCAAAACACAAACAGAAAAATGGCAGTACTCCTAGACAGACCAAATAATTAATGTTCTCTGTGTGAGTGCTTGCAAAATTTTATCTACGGTATTATTATAATCTCATCTAGTGGGTTCAAGTTTATATTCCAAACCAGGCACAGTACCAAACTAATTTAAGGGACCAATACAGAGTTTTTAATCTTTTTAACTTAGAAACTTTTTGAAAGCCACAGCTATTATCACCGACATTTAACAAAAAAACCTACCTATACCAAGTAAGTTAGAAGAACATAATCTTAGAATAAAAGACAACCTTTTAAATCAACTAAATTTAGCTTTATTAAAGAAAGCTACACTCCTTAATTTTCTCATTCTGACCAGAGGCTGGTAAAAACTTCATCCAAATCTGATGCCAGGCCCTGGCTAGAATCTGGAAACCAGTGATCCAGGTCACAGTCTTCCACCTTGTTAACAGGTAGCCTGGAGCTCACCCCGGCCTTGCTGTGATACAGGCCCATGACACCTCCAGCACTCTCCCTATCCAGCACAGACCTGGCACCCAGGAGATACTCACATCCTCATCGAACCGATCCACCAGTCCAGCAGCTAAACAGGGCACAGTCGGGCATTACATGCTCTTAATACATATATGCTGGACACACATACTTTTAAGTCAAACTCAAATTTGCAAGTACTGGAGTGACTTTACACATACACAACATAATCACTGAAACAATGAGACTCACGTAATGAGAGGAAGATAAAGAGAAAGGCTACACAAAAGCTGACTACTTTGACAGAGGACTCTATTTCAACGCCAGGCTCAGATAAAATTCTCTTGAAACGTTTGGCATAAAATAACGCAGACTTTCCTTTATTCCTAAATCTGAAAGTCAGTCTGTCTGCGTGTGTGCATGGCCAAGGTAACAGTTTAGGACGTGGTCTGAGGGGTCCTTTCATTCAGTCACTTAGTAACTAAGATCTAAGTATCTATCACATTCCTGGCCCTGTGCAAGACATCAGGACCACAAAGTTGAAGTAGGTACAATCTCCATGTCAAAGGTTTTTATGAATCAGGAAGCCTGCAAATTACTAACATAAACCACAATCTAAATTAAATTACTAGTCATTTTCTTCTGTTTTCTTTACTTAGTAAAAGATGAGGATCGTTCTGAATTTAGCCTCAGGTTCCAACAGTGCACATGGTGACAGCACACAAATAACTGATTTTGTGTTCTAATTTTCATCTGCTTATTGAATTAAAAGTTCAAACCTGGGGCAACTGAAGTAGGATACCCTTGAACTCAAGGCATTATGCCAAGGCACAGCATGCAATACCATATCCCTGAACAATTAATTTTTTTGAAAAATTTACTTTAAGTTCTGGGATACATGTGAAGAACGTGCAGGTTTGTTACAGAGGTATACACGTGCCACAGTGGTTTGCTTCACTATCAGCCATCGTCTAGGTTTTAAGCCCTGCATGCATTCGGTATTTGTCCTAATGCTCTCCCTCCCCTTGCCCCTCATCCCCCAACAGGCGCCAGTGTGTGATGTTCCCCTCGCCATGTCCATGTTGAACAATAACTTCTGTGTCCCTGTATATAGCCACAGGTGACGTGGTCAAGTTTTCCATTGATTTTGGATAGTAAGGAAGACCAGAACTACATTCACTCCCACTGAGTAAAAGCCCTATCCTACTCTAGGTTTTTAGATCATCAATACTTCAGTTACTTTCCACTTGCCTTCCAGATTTCATGGGTAGAGCAGTAGGCTGCAGGCCAACAAAGAGCAAATGGTAGCAGTGAGAGATGTGACAGGAGAGGTGAAGCAGGAAACAAGAGACCACATCAGGGCAGCCAGACAGAACACAGCCAGGATGGGTGCAGGAAGGCCAGAATGAGAGGGTAAGAACAGAAAGGGAGAGGAAGGGGGCAAAAGACATCCTAACTGAGGACCGGCTAAATGTTGGTAAGGATAAGTCAGGTACAAACAGAATGCTGGGTGACAGAGCAATCATGTACGCAGGCACAGATTTCAGCTATGATGTGGCCACTAATGCAAGAAAAATTAACACAGGTCAGAGAACTCCTTAATGGACGACTAAAAGGCTCAGACTTAGTGTTACAGTGCTTTTAGAATTTGTCTAAAAACAATTCAGACTTAGCTGCTATTTCTGGGACAAGAAAAGCACAGTCAGAAACTGGGTTTAAAATTTCCCAAAGAACTCAGACTTTTCAGCAGAAAGGTAAGCATTTAGATAACCCTTCAGTGAGAAAGTTCTTCAAACTTATGCATACTTAGTAATACTTTTTATTAGCATATCTAATATTTAAAAGCTAATTTTTAAAAAGTGGCTAGGCACGTTGGCTCACGCCTGTAATCCCAGCACTTGGAGAGGCCTAGGTGGGCAGATTACCTGAGGTCAGGAGTTTAAGACCAACCTGGCCAAGATGCAGAAACCCTGTCTCTACTAAAAATCCAAAAATTAGCCAGGCATGGTGGCAGGCACCTGTAATCCCAGCTACTCAGGAGGCTGAGGCAGGAAAATCGCTGAACCTGGGAGACAGAGGTTGCAGTGAGCTGAGATCATGCCATTGTACTTGAGCCTCAGTGACAAGAGACTGTCTCAAATAAATAAATTAATTAATTAAAAAGCAAGTACTGGCATTTATAGCTAAGGCCACATTGTTTCTGAGTGTGAAATCATAGTATGCAGTGTGGAAGAATCAAAGCCTAAGAACAAGACCTGTTCAAAGAAAAAGAAGTCAAAGTTCAATAGCTCAGAGGCACTCATTCAAGATGAGTACTGCTTCCCATCCCTGCATTTTAAATGCTCACAGTGACTAAGACTAAAACAGCACACAGTGAGCAAGGGTTACTTAGCAATTCTATTGTTCACTCTAAGGAACAGTACAAAGAATTAATTAGTACACACAGTTGAGTGAAAAGCACTAACAAAATCAAGGGAAAATATTTATGACTCCCACAGAAAAGTTTAAAAAGCACTTTTGAAGAGTTAGCATCTACCATATAGAACCAAAGTTTGGTGTTTTTACTATTTTGTCCCTATGTAATATTTAAATTTCTTTTTTTTTTTTCTTCTGAGACAGAGTCTCGCTCTGTCACCCTGGCTGGAGTGCAGTGGCTCAAACTCAGCTTACTGAAATCCCCGTTTCCAGGGTTCAAGTAATTCTCCTGCCTCAGCCTCCCCGGTAGCTGGGATTACAGGAGTGCACCACCACACCCGGCAGACTTTTGTATTTTTAGCAGAAACAGGGTTTCACCATGTTGGCCAGGCTGTTCTGGAACTCCTAACCTCAGGCAATCCACCCGTCTCAGCCTCCCAAAGTGGTGGCGTGGGTCACTGCGCCTGGCCTATAATATTTAAAATTTTAAAGTTTCCATATTTGTTCAATTTTTACCTACAAAGTTGTAATTAGTTTATTAGATTTGGCTTTAAGTCGTGACTCAGATTTTACAACGTTGATAGCAGCCACACAAACTAGTATTTGATTTCAGATTCAAAACAGGGTTTCCTAAGTATTTGGCTACTTCCCCTAATAATCTCATTAAACAATGAACTTTTCCTAATTATTATACAAGTGTTACACAATTCAAAATATCAATTAAGCAGTATTTTGTATGCTCTAAAACAAACTCCTCTCTACCACAAATCCCTATGTCTGTCTCTAAGGTCACCTATGGTAAATTTTGTTCTAAAGCAGTGTTTCTCAATTGTGTGATTTTTGTCCCTCAGAGGTGGGGGAGAAAAAAAAATTGGCAATGATAAGAAGCATTTTGGCTGTGGCATTTAGGTCGCAACTAGGTGGCGAGGTATAAGGGTACTACTGGCATCTAGTGGGTAGAGGCCATCTTTGCTGCTATACGGAGGAAAGCCTGCTCCTTCTACAATGAATTATCTGGCCCCAAATGTCAATTAAGTGTTTCTGCTGAGAAAAGCCTGGTTCTAATTGAAACAAGCAAATCTGCAAATACAGCTGACAACTTCAAAAAGCAATTGCCCAACAAGTAATGCAAAGTCAGAGACACAGACACAATAAAGGCCTCTTTTTATACTATCAAAATGCATTAAAATGATTTGACTATTAATCATTACTGCAGTGAGTGGCAGACAAACGTGTAGGCAGAGTACTTTTACTACCCAAGCAATTAAACATATACGTCTTTTCAAAAAGAAATTCAGGAGATTAAAAAAGGAAATGAGGTAATGATATTCTTGACAGTTCTTTTTTCTCCTTTCAGTCACTAGATTTTTAACTGGAGAAAGTTTAACAAGAGAAGGGAAGTTTACCACATGACACTATTCGGCAGACTAATCTTAGACCAAAATAGATTGCTAAAGTATCTGTTAGAATTCTAACTAATGTTTACCTGGCAAAAGGACTGGCTCCAGTTTTTTAATCTTCGGTTCCGAATTGATCTTATCGTCACTCTGAAATACATCAGCAAAAAGAATCAAAATCTCAATCCTCCCCACCCTCCGTAAAACACTACAGCTAATGTTTTCTAAGTGATGACACATGTGAAAGACCCATACCCTCCCCCTCTCATTTAAATTCTTGCACATATTAACTGAGCTCTTTTTCTGATGTGCTCATTATTGACTTGGAAGGCTGATAACAAAAAACATTTAAACTGCCAATGTGGCTTCCAGGTGTTCCCATTTGAGGAGCCGCCTCGCCCGGTGGCCCCAAGAGCTGCAATCATGCCGGCGGTCACCGGAGGTGCGGTGGACGGGGTTGGAAACTAAAAACACCCGGCTCTCAACATGGAGCAAAACTACGGACGACAGGACTTCGGACAGAAAATGGGGGCGCAGGAGTTTTACAAGTTTTACACGAGCCGGGGGGGGGGGCTCCCGAGAAGGCGCGTTTCGCAGCGCCGGGGATCTGACACCCGCGCGGCTGAGGGCGGGGAGACGCGCGCGGCGTCCCGGGGTCCTCCCGTTCCCGGGGGTCGGCCCGGAGGCTCCACGGACGCGCCCAGGAAAGGGGCGCTCGAGGGAGGTGGGGGGGGGGTGTTTACCTGGAGCGGCGGCAGGAGGTACGACCTGAAGGTGGGTCTGGGGGGCTTGAGGGAGAACATGGTGCCGCCGCCTCCCGACGCCTCCGGGCGCAGAACTTTCAGCGCGGCCGCCCCGGCCCCTTCTGCGGCCAGCCGAGCCGGGCAAACTGACGGGCGGGGACGCGGCGCAGCGCCCGCCCGAGCGGGGAGGGGCCGGGCCCGGCCAGGCCGACGCGGGCGCAGGGGCCCATCCCCGGAAGGGGCCCGGTGCCCCGCCCCGAGGGACGGCGTGCGCAGGGCCCGCAGCCCAAGCCAGCGCCGGGACGCAGGGTGGTGCCGAGCGCCCGCCGGGAGGCCCTCGGCCCGGGCGCCGCGCGGAGCGGAGCCCAGCAGCCACCTCGAGAACGCGGCCTCCGGAGGGCGCTGCTACGGCGGCCCGCAGGGGTCAGGCGGCCGGCGGGGGGCTACGGCGGCCTGCGGGGGCCACGGCGGCCGCGCCGGGCGGCCTTGGATGGCGGCGCCGGGCACCCTCCGTTTGGACTGCAGTCCTGGGACGGTGCCCTTGACTTCCGCGCAGGCAGACTTCGGCCTCCGGGCCTGGCGAGCATTATGTTAAAGCTCTCGAGCAGGAGCCCGGGGTAGGGGAAGGGGACTCGGGTCACGGGCTCAGGCGGTCACCCCCGTCTGCCCCCAGCGTGCTGGGAACCTGCACTGGGAAAGTGGGCCGGTGCCGCCAGCGACGACCGGGTTCTGACGCCCAGCGCGGTCCTCACCGCCTGGGGTGAAAGCCCCTCCAGGCCGGGCGCGGTGGCTCACGTCTGCAATCCCAGCACTTTGGGAGGCCGAGGCGGGCGGATCATGAAGTCAAGAGATCGAGGCCATCCTGGCCATCATGCTGAAACCGCGACTCTACTAAAAATACAAAAAATGGCCGGGCGCGGTGGCTCAAGCCTGTAATCCCAGCACTTTGGGAGGCCGAGGCGGGTGGATCACGAGGTCGAGAGATCGAGACCATCCTGGTCAACATGGTGAAACCCCGTCTCTACTAAACATACAAAAAATTAGCTGGGCATGGTGGCGCGTGCCTGTAATCCCAGCTACTCAGGAGGCTGAGGCAGAAGAATTGCCTGAACCCAGGAGGCGGAGGTTGCGGTGAGCCGAGATCGCGCCGTTGCACTCCAGCCTGGGTAACAAGAGCAGAACTCCGTCTCAAAAAAAAAAAAGAAAAAAAAAAAAAAAATACAAAAAATTAGCCGGGCGTGGTGGCGCGCGCCTGTAGTCCCAGCTACTGGGGAGGCTGAGGCAGGAGTATCGCTTGAACCCGGGAGGCAGAGGTTGCAGTCAGCCAAGATGGCACCACTGCCCTCCAGCCTGGTGACAGAGCGAGACTTTGTCAAAAACAAACAAACAAACAAACAAACAAACAAACAAAAAAGCCCCTCCACAGGAAGAGGTTCTTCCATCACCCCATCTGTTGTCCTTGCACAGAACTTTAAGACAGGGATGTCCTCCCAGCAGCTGAGCTGAGCACTGGTTTCTATGGGATGCTGAGCCTTGCGGTGGGGCCTGCACGGATACATTGGTGGGCAACCCAGACTCCTCAATGGAGTTAATTTCTACTGTCCTTATTAATGTGAAAAAAGATACTAAGCATGTTGCCTTCCTTTCCTTTCTTGCTCGTCCTCACAAAAATGCTAACGAGCAGATAAATGATCAAAAGCCCAGCAAGAGGAAGGCCCTAGCAATGTGGGGGCTTTAGCGGGCTATGAAAGGGAAAAATCTGCCCATTAATTGCAAAGAACAGACGAGTCACAGCATATCAAGGACAGGTCACTTCTGAGCTCTTACTGTAATTCTGACTGGAGCCGACTTTGGAGGGAGGGGGCTGGCGGTGTTACATTTTGTACCTTGAGACTAGGTCCTTCTTATAACTTCAAGAATCAAACCCCAATCCAGCATTTTATGATTGATGAATACCACAGGGAAGCTTCCATGTAGCCATACCAGTCACAATCATACTGATGAGTGCTACTCACAGGAACATTTAGCAATTTAAATAAAGATTCAGAAAGTTATTCTTTTTCTGAAAATAATTTATTCTGGATTTAGAACCCTTCTGATCTTTCAGGTTAACCTGTTTGAATTCCACTCTACCCAGGAACCATAACTGTAATTGTATTTTTTTTAAGAGTCTGAGTCTCACACCATCGCCTGGGCTGAAGTGCAGTGGCATGATCAGGGCCCACTGCTGTTGCCTCGACCTCCTGGGTTCAAGTGATCCTCCTGTCTCAGCCTCAAGTAGGTGAGACTAGGGGCATAAGCCACCGAGCCTGGCCATAACTGTACTTTAAAATGTTAGTTCCATCGGATTAGAAGTGTTAAAAAACACTGTCTTGCACACTTTAAAAATTTTTTTAATGAATATTCTGTTATTCCTTTATACTCAGGATATTTCCTGTAAATACTCTTGAAGCAATAATTGGCTTTTTCTTTACAGTTAAATGACTCTGTGATTTGGGTTTTTCTGTACAGGTTTTCTTAGGATCTGCAACTCTTAATGTGTGACCACACAACTGAAAAGTGGAAAAACTCTGATTTCCAGATTTGTTATTGTCTTAACAATAAATTTTATGACATTTCCTAGGTATCTGGTTGTATTAGTCTGCTCAGGCTGCCATAACAAAATACCACGGGTTGGTGCCTTAAGGAGCAGACATAAATTTCTCCCAATTCTGGAGTCTGGGAAGTCCAAGATCAGGGTGCTAGGAAGGTAGGGTTCTGCCTGACTTACGGCAGGCAGACAGGCGAGGGCGCTCTGCCAGACTTGCAGATGGCCGCCTTCTCACTGTGTCCACACACTGCGAGGGGAGTGCAAGCTCTCAGTATCTCTAGGGCTCTCTTCTTGTAAGGACACTAATCTTATCAGATTAGGACCCTACCCTTATTACCTTATTTCCCCTTAATTACCTCCTAAAATTTCTGTCTCCAAAGATGGCCATACTAGGGGTTAGGGTTTCAACATAAGCATTTTGGATGAACATAATTCAGTCCATAGAACTAGTTTTATAACCTCTTGTCAGATCTTGATGTCCGAGACTACTCTGTATGTCTGGTGTTCTCGCATATCCCCTCCTTCCGGCTCTCATGTCACTATCTTGTCCTGCGTCACCCATTTTTCTGTTTTCTAGTTTTTTATTTTTTTGAGATAGCGTCTTGCTCAGTCACCCGGGCTGGAGTGCAGTGGCGTGATCTCGGCTCACTGCAACCTCCGCCTCTCAGGTTCAAGTGATTCTCCTGCCTCAGCCCGCTGAGTAGCTAGGATTACAGGTGCCCGCCACCACACCTGGCTCATTTTTGTATTTTTTAGTAGAGATGAGGTTTCACCATGTTGGCCAGGCTGGTCCCAAACTCCTGACCTCAGGTGAACTGCCAGACTTGGCTTCCCATCACTCATTTTTCTGACCACACCTCTCTTTCCATTATTGGCTCTTCTATCATTGGGGATGGTAGCATTCTTTAAAGATTACTTCCCTTTCCCTATCAAGAAAAAGCAAAACTAACATGTCTTGAATACCGATTCAGTGCTAGGTACTTTATATATTCATTCAGCGCTCATTCAGTGAACTAATGAATTTGTACTGAGTACTAACATTGTGGCAAGTACTGTTCAGGACACTAGGACAATGTTTCTACTTTCATGGCATTTTCATTCTTGGTAAAAAGATAAAAAAATTAATATAGAGCATGTCAGGTGGTAATGTGTGCTGTGAAGAAAAATAAAACATAGGGACAGAAAGTTGGTTCCATTTTTCTCTGGGGAGTTGCATATGGCCAGGGAAGGACTTTCTGATTATAGGACATTTGAGCAGAGACAAAAGGAGTGAGGGAGCAAGTCAGGTAGACATGAAGAGGAAGAGCATTTAGAGAAGACAAGATTAGCAGTGCAGATGCTTTGAGGTAAATGCCTTTAAGGGGTGTTTGAGGCCAGTGTGACTGAAGCAGCCTTATGTAGTCGGGAGGAAGACAGAGGGAAACAAGCCAGTTCACAGAGACCCCAAAAGTTGAGACGATTTTACAAGGTTTTGAGATAAGAGTGATATGATCTGACTTGTGTTTTAAAATAATCATTTTGACTGCTGTAGTGGTACAGCATGGTGGCCTTTGGAAGACCAGTTGAAGTCTTTTATAACATGCCAGTAACAGGTGATGGTGGTAGCAGTGGAATCGGTTAGATGTGGTTAAACATAATGTCTACAAAACGAAGCCATTGCTTGAGTATATGGTTTTCTTTTTTTTTTTGAGATGGAGTTTCACTCTCGTTGCCTAGGCTGGAGTGCAATGGCACAGTCTTGGTTCACTGCAACCTACGCCTCCCAGATTCAAGTGATTCTCCTGCCTCAGCCTTCCCAGTAGCTGGGATTACAGGTGACCGTTAGCATGCCCAGCTCATTTTTTTGTATTAATAGTAGAGACGGGGTTTCCCCATATTGGCCAGGCTGGTCTCCAACTCCTGACTTCAGATGATCCACATGCCTCGGCCTCCCAAACTGCTGGAATTACAGGCATGAGCCACCACACCCAGCCAAGTAGATAGTCTTTTAAGATGACTACTAAGTAATTTAATAAATCTGCTTCTTGAGAGAGAACCGTGGAAAGATGACAATAGCAGCATAGTTTTTTCAATCTCCACATAAAAAAACAGACAAAGCAACTATATGGCAGAACCAAAACCCAAGGACAACATCTATAACAAATCCAAGTGAATTGGTATCCCCTTAATCTAAAAAATATAAGTGTGTGGGAACAAACCAATAGCAGTAATATGGCAGAAATAAGACCCTTGTGGTATCAGCATAGAGAATCAACGAAGCATCTGGAGAACACCAAAATAGCTGAAACATGTCCCTAGAAGGTCTAGCCAGTCAAATTGAGAACAGCAGCAGAAACAGGAAGGGGTATTTGCCTTCTCTAAAAACATGAGAGTGCAGGAGCCTCCTGTAAAGTCTGGAGGGGCTGGAGTAATATCGCTGCAGGAACTCTTGAAACTAATCTGCTAGGCTTCCTTCCAGGAAACAGACCTACACTGATGGCAAACTGTTGGGCATGGAAACAAAATTGAGCAAAATAGAGACAATAGAGAGAAAGGAAAACGATGTTCCAGATAAAAATGGAAGACCAGGAAATCTCCAAAGTAAGCCAACTCTTAAAATTAAAAAAAAAAAAAAAAATCCACACCAACATTACACAGTAAAAACAGAAGTTCTCTATGAAGTTAGAAAAATTATCCTTAAAACTGCCTCCTTCAAAAGTTCAATAAAACCAATTTCACATAAAAATAATCACGTGAATGTATGGAAGTCAAATCACATAGAAAATTATTGTAATGAAAGAGAGTGAGAACAGAACAGCACTCATACTGAC